TCTCCTGCCTCCGCCTCCCAAGTAGCTGGGACCATAGGCGCCCGCCACAACGCCTGGCTATTTTTTGGTTGCAGCCATCATTGTTGTTTGGCGGGTCCAGGCTGGGGATTCGAACCCGCTACCTTAGGTGTACGTGGCTGGCGCCTTAGCCGGTTGAGCTACAGGCGCCGAGCCACCTAACATGTATTTTGGTCCATCTCTTGGCAGAAAACCACCCCTGAGTGTGGTTCCACAGGGTATGTAGAGAAAATCACATGCAGCTCATCTAAGAGGAATGAGTTCAAAAGGTGAGTGCCATCTGTCTCCTCTGAGATCACCTACTTGGGTCCTATGACTATGTTTATTTGTTTATTTATTTATTTATTTTAGAGACAAAGTCTCCATTGCCCTGGGATTGAGTACCATGGCGTCATAGCTCACAGCAACATTAAACCCTTGAGCCCAAGTGATTCTCTTGCCTCAGCCTCTGAGTAGCTGGGACTACAGACACCCACCAGAATGCCTGGCTACTGTTTTTTAGAGATAGGGTCTCGCTCTTGCTCAGGCTGTTCTTGAACTCTTGAGCTCAAGCAAACCACCCACCTCGGCCTCCCAGAGTGCTGGTATTACAGTCATGAACCACCACACCCAGCCCATCTCCTTTGACTTTAGATAGATCAGTGGTTCTCAACCTTTCTCATGCCGCAAACCTTTAATAGTCCAAAGGGGTTGCAACCCACAGGTTGAGAACCACTGCAATAGATGGTCCCACCTCTTCCTCCAAGTAGCTTGGTATATTGGAAAGAAGGGCTTTGGAGCCAAATTCCTTGAACCCAAGTCCCAGCTCTGCTCCTAGCACTGTGTCATTGGTCATATTTTCTCATGAGTAAAATTGGCTAATATTAGCTTTGCTTATCTCACCAGAGGATAAATTAAATGATGTGTTTAGTAGTAAACACATCAGGAAGCTGACTCTGGGCCAAGCACAGTAGCTCACACGTATAGTCCGGGCACTTTGAGAGGTTTATATGGGAGATTGCTTGAGGCCAAGAGTTCAAGACTAGCTTGGGCAACATAGCAAGACCCCTGCCATGGGGTCCATCTGCCTCTTTTTCTCTAAAGAGAAAAAAATGTTTGTTTTTGAGACAGAGTCTGACTTTATCGCCCTCACTAGAGTGCCATGGCATCATGGCTCATAGCAAACTCTTGGGCTCAAGTGATTCTCTTGCTGTAGGCTCTTGAGTAGCTGGGACTACAGGGGTCCGCCACAACACTCAGCAGTTTTTGTTTTTTTTTTTGACACAGAGTCTTAGTTTGTGTCCTAGCTTTGAGTACTACAGTGTCATAGCTCACAGCAACCTCAAACTCTTGGGCTTAAGTGATCCTCCTGCCTCAGCCTCCCAAGTAGCTGAGACTACAGATGCCCACCACAGTGCCCAGCCATTTTTTTAGAGATGGAATCTCACTCTTGCTCAGGCTGGTCTCAAACCCACCTCAGCCTCCCAGAGTGCTGGGTTTACAGGTGGGAGACACTGCGCCCAGCCAAGAAAAACCTTTTTTTTTTTTTTTTGAGATAGTCTCACTATGTCACCCTCAGTAGAGTGCTGTGGCATTATAGCTCACAGCAACCTCCAACTCATGCGCTTAAGCGATTCTCTTGCCTCAGCCTCCCAAGTAGTTGGGACTTCAGGTGTCTGCCTTAATGCCTGGCTATTTTTTTATTGCAGTTGCATTGTTGTTTTATCTGGCCTGGGCTGGGTTCAAATCTGCCTCATTGGGTGTATGTGGCCAGCGCCCTACCCACTGAGCTAC